ATTCCTTAGATGAATTCAAAGTAAAACTAGGTGTTTCTAAGTTCGTTAATTCTACAACCATAACTTATAATTACCTACTCCTAGTTAATTACTAAGTTAGACAATTATTCTAATTCAGATCGGCACAATTATTGTCAATAACATCTACTCATTTAAAATCACTTTGTGCGCTCGTCAACACGCAAAAAGAAGTAAAAACAAGAATAATTGAATAATAATTATAACATAAATTATTCAAATAATCTCAAACATTTATATGATCCAACAAAGTATAATTAGATTCATCACTAAAGACCTAATCTTAAATAGCTTAGCTACTCATAGTGAAATTAACAATTACCATGAGTTTGTAAGAAGTTTTAATATCAATGAAAAATAAGCTCTCTAATGACTCAATGCTCTTTGAAATCACTCATAAAAGCTCTTGGTCGTCACTTTCTCTCAAAGAATTCATAACCATAAAAAAGGTAGAAAAATTCCATTTAAAAGTTACACACACATGTCAGGAAAACGCGTTATTATGACCATGTTAGAAAACATCGCGCTCGCGATAATGATCTCATCGTGCTCATGATAAAAACATCGCGACCACAAGAAAAACAAAGGCAAAATATATTTTTTCTTCCTTTTTCTTACTATTTTCTCTAAGTCCCAACTTTCTTCACCTTTGGCTATTTTTGCTCACTTATTCATCATTTGGCTTGACTTTTGCTCATAATTCCATCGATTTAGTCAAAACTGCTCGCAAATATTACGTAATAGCAGAGTGACATCACCCATCCCCACTGTCAAATAGTTTCTTCATTGTTCCTCTCATTAATTATAACCATGACATTGCATGTATTACTACTGTTAGTTTTCTATTTTATGATTGACATTAATTTTATTTTAGTAAAACAAATAAGTATGTTTAATAGGACATTTTAACATGTTGAGCAAGACGCCTTATTCTATGAAGAAACATGCTGAGTTGAGATGTTTCATCATCTGGAGCAACATGTCGGATAAGATGCCCTATACCGAGTCATTCGACATCATGATTGGTTTGGGCTATTGGATCAGTTTTAGATTTAACAGACGAAGAATATCCTGGAATATTATGTTATTCTACGTGGCGCTGATTTTAAGGTCTGGAAGATTCAAGCTGAAATCAAGAAGAATATTGACTTTCTAATTATGGATATAAATTAGGAAGTCATGATTGAAGACCTATATTTATGCAGAAGTTTCTGCAGATCAGTAGCAGTCGTTATGTTGTGATTTGAAGCCCAAAATCCAGTTGGGAAAAAGGTTATAAATAGAAGGGCATTAACCCAGAAAAGGTACAATCTGAAAATACAAAGTTTAGATTATTAGGGCTGAGCATGTAAGCCACTCTCTAGGAGAGTTGGTATGTGTGAGCCTCTCGAATATCATGTTGGTATGAGAGCGGGACTGATGTTATAGAGTTGTAATTCTCTATTGTTCATTCTTAAGCTTTTAAACATATAATGTATATTGTTCTTGAATGAAGCTTTGAAGAAAATCTAAGTGTATTGTTCTTAGTCAAGAGTCTTGTCTAGGTTGTGTCCATGAAGTGTTGTTGGTGAAGTTTGCTTTACAATTCATTTGAATTATGGTTATGGTAGTTAGGAAGTTAGATGTTGATTTCTCATATTTAGGATGTTCCTAGGTAGAAGTTGCGTTGGATAGAGATTAGGCGAGAAGTTATAAACGGGGGAATTTAGCTTTGAACTAATACTGCTGATAGTGGACTTCCTTCCTGGTTTGGTAGCTCCCAGAGTAGGTGTATGTCCACCAAACTGGGTTAACAATTCTGTGTGTTGTTTACATACTGCACAAATTGTATTTCTCTTATTCATTGTTTATGTCAAATATTGATGTCTCGACATCTTATAAGATATCGTATATCTGATAGGCCAGAATTTCAACTACTATACAAGACTTGGGGGGTTAGTGAAGCGGAGTTGAGAGAGGAGTTTAAGGTTAACAAGGGTTCTCACTTTTGATTTCCTTGGCTTCGGGAGAGGTATACGAAACTAGTCAGCCAAACTATGTATGAGGCAACCGCTAGGGTATACATGTTACATTTCGTAGTATGTACTATCTTAGTGAATAAGTCTCATGTATATATCGATGCGAGATACACATCTCTGTTTATTAACCTCAACTATGCTAGTTAGGCATGATGGCATGTTACATTGAATATACTATATTCCACACTTGGAGAGGCGACTGTCTTTAATACGAGATAACTTGTCGGTTATATGAGTCTATTTCAAGTATAAAAATTTATCATGTCTTATTATTTAAGTTCTTATTTATGACATTTTTTTATATGCCCATGTTCATGTGCAGTGTTGGATATACGAGTAATTTTTGTCCATTTGTGACAAATTGGTTTCTCCTACCACTATTGGCTCCACACTAGAAGGCTAGAAATTCACACCAATACAGTCTTCTGAAGTACGGGAAGAGGATTAATACATTGACTTTAGGCATGTCATCTGAACACCCTACGCAGATCATGGAGTATAGAAAGAAGATATCATCTCTATTTATACAAGTTTGGATTCTTTAAAAATCACACAATTGTCAGTACAATCACAATCATACAAAACTGTCGGCTACATCTGAATCGTTGAAATTTAAACTATCATATTTGTTGTAAACCTACTAAATATCAGGTTAATGCAAGAGCTTTTTAAAAAACCGGTGATTTTACACTATGTGACTTTTCAGTATTTTGGTAAATATCCGTAAATCATGGTGTTATTTAAAAAAATGGTATTTTTTTCCCATGCATCGATTTTTTATTAAATTCAATAAAAATGTATATAAGATTTTTATAATAAACTATCAAATTTTTACCTTCATACCAAATTTTTAGAATATACTATCAAATTTTTTCACACTATTTTTAAATAAAAAAATGACAAGAAAATTTTGGATTCTAAAAAAAGGGTTAATAGGTATCTACCCTTGCCATTTAGGGGTCTTCTGAATTTTCCCCTGTAATTAAAAAAAAAAAACAACCTTGCCACATGAAGATTCTCTTGACTTAAACTTTTTAGTGACCAGATCCACTCGATGAGTTGATGTGGCAAATGAGTGTTGACTGAATCTTAATATTTTATTACTTTTGAATAGTCAAACTGATATTGTACCAAACTGATGTGCTGAACCAAATATTGAACCAAATATTGTACCAAACTGATGTGTTGCACCAAATATTAAACCAAGTTCATTTTTAACCAAATATTGTACCAAATTGATATTGTACTCGAACTGATATTTAACAAAACTAATATTGAAACAAACTCATTCATTCATTCATTAGAATCTCAAACTGATACACTGGAACAATTACATTAAAATTTCAAACTGATACATTGGAACAATTATATTGGAACATTGAAACAACATATACATTGAAAGCTCAAATTTTAAAGAAACAACTACAACATGTTGAATACAATGGCAAACAACAACCATGACACTATTAGTGTAATAGTTAACCAATAGTTCTTGTTCCTTTCAAAGTGCAGATTCTTCTTGGTTTTTTCAAGTTTATTTGAGCAAGAATATTTGGCATACTCCTTCCCAAACTCCTTTGCGAATTCCTTCCCAAACTCTCCCATTAAACTAATGATGTGTTTCCCTTTGTTGCAATCAATTGTCTTAATTCCAGATTTCCACTCAATTTCATCAAGCTCAACATCCCAAATAAACAAATCACAACTATTATTTGCCTGCATTTAAGAACCAAAGTAAACATGAATTTGGGGATGAACGAAAAATAAGAAACACTTTAATACGATTTTTATACCTTTTGCCAATTCCTGCATCTTCAAAATTTTCTCTTAGGATTTTCCGGTGTATTTAAGACCCAAACATTCATGACCTGATTGCAATCACATCTAGCACTTGTCTTCCATTTGAAGTACTGATTAAGGATGATTCGATGTATGCTATTTGCAACCCCTAATACGTTGAACGAAGAAGGTAGAAAATGAATTAGAGTACGAGCTTTGAAGAAGACGAACAGATGAAAGCCGAATTAGATTAACATAAATTAGGTCACGTGATATTTTGAGCATTTAGTACATGTGACAATGAAGTTTAAGATTCACTCAACACCCACTTGCCACATCAGCTCCTCAAGTGAATCTTGTCACTAAAAGGATTAAGTCAAGAGAATCTTCATATGACAATTTTTTTTTTTTATAAATATTTTATAAGGGGTAACCAGAAGACCCTTAAATGATAGGAGATAAATACATTTTAACCTAAAAAAAAATCGAAAATTAAAAATTCCTGTCAATTCAAGATTTATTACCATAAAAAAAACACACAATCACGCATTATACAAACTTAATTTAAGTTAATTATTTTTGAAAATATAAAATTCTATTTTTTCTATTCATCGGATCAAAATCTAATTATTGATAGAGTCTTGATTGCGTGAAGGCAGTCAATGCAGCATATTCAAACGCCTAGTTCACTTTTGTTTTTGGCGTGACAAAAAATATAGATGCAAACGACGTCGTATGAGCCCAGCTGTATTTCGTTCCAATTTAATTAACATAGCGCGTGAAGCGTGTATTAAACGCGCATCAAACTCTGCCGTTTCGACAAAAAAAAAAACTCTCGTATGAAAATTCCGGCGAAACTCTCAGAAAGGGACAAATAATTTAGGGCTTTTCAAAATTCAATTTAGGGTTTTCTCTGCTTACACTGTAAGCTCACCCTTCAATCTCAATTCGCACAGGTAATTTCTACATTTCAACGTTTCTTCTATTTTATTTTCACTTTGAATTAACCATGAAAATCAAAGCTTTGAGTTTCATCAATAGATTATTTGCTAGGGTTTAGTATTCAGGGTAAAAAGGTTTCGTTCTCTTTTATTTTTTTCCTGTGTGGGTTGTTTAGTGGTGGAGACTAAAGTTATGTTTTTCTTAGGAGGTTGCTGTGTTTGCATGCTTGATTAAAATTTGGTAATGAGTGATACAAAAGAAAGCGTTCCCGCGCCTGTTAATATAGAGGAAGCTGGCCATGTGATTGGTGAAAATGGAAGTCCAAACCAAGCTTCAGCTAGTGCATATTTAAGAGATGACCATCAGATGATTATAGATAATCTTGCTGGCCTGGTTTCATATCTTGATCGAGAGATGCATCTCGAAGTTCAACCTGATACTGCAGAAGAAACTTATGTGTCAGATGAAAAATATGGGAGGGAAGAAATACTTGCCGTGGATGAAAATATGAAACCCAAGGTTGTTTCGGAAGATATTCCACAAGAAACTGTTCAGGATACTCTTCACTTAGTCCCAGTTGAGGTTGATGATCAGATTCTGAATACAACTGAGTGTGAAACTGCTTCTGATGCGAAGGTGGAAGCTGAAAGACTTCCTCAGAGTAATAATGGCGTTGAGAATGTTGAGAATGATGTTGCTGCATGTCAAAATGGTGTTAGTGATGGTGATGCTGAAACGACTGGGATGGAGGTTGATGTGAAGCCTGTAGTTTGTGAAGCGGCTGATAGTAAAACTTGTGATAACGAACTTATATCGTCAAGTCATAACAATCCGACACCTTCTGATGCAAATGAACCTGTGCCGTCAAGTCATAATGATCCTACTACGCCACAACCTGCCCATGCTGAAACAGGGCCGGAAATCAAGAATGTTTTAGAAGTTGAAAGTAGTAAGGCTGGTGAGGAGCAAGCTGATGAGCATGCAGATAATGGGAATTCAGATTCGCAGCAGAACATGTTTTTCTTGGATGCTGATCATTATTATGATGGTAATGAGTCGGGAACGGAAGAGGACCAAGCAGTTTTTATGAAGGAGCTTGAAAACTTCTTTAGGGAGAGGAGCATGGAATTCAAACCTCCTAAATTTTATGGGGAAGGACTTAATTGCCTTAAGTGAGTTATATGTGTTGATTTAAACTTATATCCATCTTTAACTTTTAGCCATCTTTGAATATGACATAAATTCACTGAATTCTAAAATGATGTCACTCTTGACTAATGCTTATTTGGTGAAACATAAGGTTATGGAGAGCTGTAATGAGATTGGGAGGCTATGAGAAGGTATTAGTTTATTTGTTTTTCAATTCTGCTGAATGTTTCATACCCATTTATGTAGTTGGTTTTGGAAAAACAATTAAATATAGAGGTCCATAGTGATTTCAAATAGTGGTTCATGGTTACACTTGTTGGTACACTGAATGAGGAATTATCATGAGTATAACTCATGTATGAGAGAAGGTAATTGTGATTTCTAGTGAAGTGTGAAAACAAATATAATTAAAATATATGGAACTTTAGGCTATCCATTTTATTTATTTCATGGAAGTTGTTTTCATTGTTTATAGGTAACATCATGTAAGTTGTGGCGGCAAGTGGGAGAGTCTTTCAAACCTCCAAAGTAAGGACTAACTTGCATTTCATGTCTCGATCTTGTTCATGACTCTGAAATTTTGATGTTTCCTTAAATTTCCGATTTGCATTTGTGCTGTGTTTATTTTTAAAGTGTTATTTGATGTCAAATTTGTGATATATGTTGTGTCTAATCTGCTTAGAATTATTGTTTGGGCCTAACTTAACTCCAAAAGCTAGCTTATGGAGTGAGGTTGCCCCTCTTACAATCTTTGTTCTTGTTCATGCTGTATCACTATCCAATTTGAAACTCTCAATACCCCTCCCTCATGCCCATGACTGAACATTTGGACCGTGAAGTTTGTGTGGTTGGACATTTGCGGGTGACCCAACGGACCCATGATAAGCTTTGATATCATCTTACAATTCTGGTTTACTCCTTACTTAACTTCAAAAGTAAGCTCTTAGGACGAGAGTTGCCCCCACTTACTGTTTAGGTGATATCAATATCCAATGTGGGACTCTTACTATTTACCCGTTACCACACATTTCTTGAGAGCAATTTATGTGTTGGTCACAGTTTTATGCAAGGCTGTGATGGGTGTTTATGTTCAGCTATTAATTGTTGATAAATTTTCATATTGATAGAACAGCTCATTTCCATAGCTTTCAAACAGTTGTTTTTATTTTTAAGAGATGTTGCACGTGTTTCTTCACCCTTTTCTGTAGATCCTATTGAGCTGCATCTCTCCTCACCTTTTTAATTTTTCTTTGGGGTGGGGGTTTGATAGGGATGTTGGATACTGTGAACTGTTTGGATAAACCTGATTATTCTAAAAAAAGTACTAATATTGTCCTCTATTCATCTTATGCAGGACATGCACCACAGTTTCCTGGACTTTCCGGGGATTTTATGAGAAGGTGATTCTTGATTAATAAGTTATAAGTAATAAGTTATAATTAATCCTTTTATTTTAAAATTTTACATTTAGAAATTACAAATATAGTTTATATCTGTGCTTGTTGACGTCCCTTTGAAGTTTATGAGTAGACGTTTTGTTTGCCTGTGAATTTTGACTCTTGATGTCAATGATTTATTCAAATGCATTTACACAAATTGCTTAAACGGTTTTTGTGTTATCATACTATCTTCTGATTGATAAAATGATAAATATTCCAGTGATGTCCTTCTTGGAGAATATTTATGCCGTTTATGCAGTAACCCAAGACCAAAATTTTCTCTTAATATATTCTACAAATATTAGCCTCAAACCATGCTTAATATTAGTCTTAAACCATGCTTTGAAATCTAAGATAAGATATCCATTTACTTTGGACTATATAATTGAAAAAACTGTATGTAATATTGTATTTTCAGAATGATGCAATCTGTAATCCTTGCCTTTTTAACACGTATTTCATTGTTGTTCTTTCCAAAATATTACACTAGGCCCTTCTTGATTACGAAAGGCATAACATAAAAGGTGGCGAGCTGAGTGTGCCTATCCCTTCTCCTCCAGAGCCTGTGAATGTTGAAAATCAGGTAATGTGATTTATATTTGATTTCTTTAGCATGGACAATAATGGTACTATATAAGGAGCATTCTTATCACCGTGAACTTACTAACTGAATGTATTTGATTTGCTAATTTTATTTTTGAAACAACTTGTAATGAAAATTGTAGTGGGAGAATTTTTGAAATAAAAAGAAACTTCATCCCAAAACTTAAGAAAAACAGACATGCATATACTTCTCTTTGATTTTCTGTCAACATCATTTGCTCTAGTTTAAGATACATGCACATACTATAATTATCTGCGCTACATGATGATTTTGAAATGATGGTTGTATCTAGGCTTTAGTATCAGGTAGAGCCCGGAGATATGCTGCTGAACAGGCTATGCGGGGTTGGCACTCACAACGTCTTCTTGGCAATGGTGAAGTCAGTGACCCTATTATAAAGGTGTGGTGGGATTTAAAAGTTATTTTTACTCTTCTGAATTCTTTTTCATTTTCTGTGTTTTTACATCCATATAGATGTTTGATGCTTCTGTTTTTCTCAGGATAGGAATTTGGTGTCTGTGCAAAAGCGAGAAAAGCAGCTTAAGAATATTAGTATGGTTCTTCATCGTTGTGCTATAATTTTTAATTATACTCTAAGTGTACCATGTCAGATTATTCTCAGTATTGAATCACGCTCGTTATTGACTCAGATATACTTAAACGTAAGAAGCCATCTTATATGGATAATGCAGTCAAAGCAGCGCGCAGTAAACCATCTAAACCACAGTTAAGACACGTTTACTTCTTTCTACCTTTCATTGTTTGTTGTACTTGCTTACTTGTTTGGGTAGGTGAAATGTGTTGTACAGCAATAAGAATTTTATTTTTTTTACTATGGAATTATGTTTCTTTCACTACTAGCATGCCTATGCTGATATATGTGGTTGGTAGGTTGGAAACAGCTGTGGTTGACATTGGACCTCCTGCTGATTGGGTAAAAGTCAATGTACAAAAAACTGTAAGTTCTTACTCTTTGTATTCAAGATAATACATTATAAGCTGTATATGTAGCTAATCATCTCAATGAATACTTCTTGTGCAGAAAGATTGTTTTGAGGTATATGCTTTAGTTCCTGGCCTTTTGCGGGAAGAGGTATTCTGATGCTTTATCTTTAATATCTATTTATCGGTATTATGATGAAAATTAAGCTGTCTATTTCACTTTTTCCCCTTCCTGTGAGAGTTGCCATTGGAAGTGTGCAAAACTCATGGTGGAGTGGTTGTGAAATTCTGGTTGAGGATAATCATACCTATTTTTCTAAACCAGGTCCGAGTGCAATCAGACCCAGCAGGACGTTTGGTCATAAGTGGTGAGCCAGAGCATCTAAATAATCCCTGGGGCGTGACACCTTTCAAAAAGGCGAGATTTTCTTCTTTTTAAACCATTATTTTTTTTTGTTCTGGAATACATTGTCTAATTACCTGATACCCGTGCTTCGATTGTTGCTCTAATATAATAAATAATTTTATGATTCAGGTTGTGAATTTGCCCTCAAGAATTGATCCTCATCAGACATCAGCTGTGGTAACGTTGCATGGACAATTGTTTGTTCGTGTCCCATTTGAACAGACAGAATAGCGGTATTTGTAGATGCTTTCTTACAAGTTACAGATTTCCTTTACCATTATTTATAGGATAGTTGACACATAAACAACAATGGGGAGGAATTAGTTATGCCTGTAAAACTGCAGAATGTATATTCAATTTAAAATCCTAGTACATGGTTTTCTCAAGCATATTACAATTTGACCATGTTTATGTTAATATTAGCTAGTTAGGATTTTGTAATGCTGAAATGCTTTAAAATTGGCAAGCTGGTTGGTTGAGATTACATAAAAAGTTAGAATGAAAAGCTATGTGATGAACCTTTTCCTATCCTTAGATGTGTTGTTAAGCATGATTGAGTGCTTATGTTTCAAAAGCAAGTTATCTTAACATTGCTCCGTCTTCCTATGCTCACATTTCTGCTTGTTTATTTACTTTTTTCACTTGAAGGTGTCTTTAAATGTAATAGTAATGCTGCTTTTTTTTTTTAATTCATCGGTAGAAGACTTGGGGCGTGTTTGAATAAGTAATTTATTTGCAGTTTAAATACAAACACATTATCCACATCATAAATTGTTTTCACAAATCGGAAGGAGGTTGTAATTACTTTATGTCAGGACTGATCTCTGAACAGGACTAGTCTATCCATATCAATTTACTTTTATGTTTGTGAGATTGATCAAGAAAGCCATCTTTATACTTACTTTGTGTAAGGCTTTAGAGAAGAAAGAGATGAGGATTGTATATATAGAAATGATATTTTGATACTCACTTTTATACTACACGGTATACCTGTTTATAGTTGGGCCAGATTTTACTAAGTAATTTTTCTCTCCCTCTTTACTTTTCATTGTTACAATTTCTTTTTCCTGCACCATTTTTTAACCCTATTCTGAAAATAATTACTATATCAAATTCTTGCAGTGCATTAACAATTCTTCTTTGTATAGATTTACATTAATCAAATTTTAAAAGCCATTAATCCAATCCACTTCTTGCACTCAATTAACAAAGTTTTTTTTATTGATTTTGTTCTGTTTTGATGTCTGAATTTATATTAACCAAACTTTAAACGGAATTAACCACCTTCTCAAATTGCATTAACCAATTGGACTTAACTAATTTTTTTCCTGTGTTTTGATGTTTGAGTTTATATTAACCAAACTTTAAATATGATTAATCAATTTCTTGCATTGGAGCATTATCCAACTCTGTTTTATCAATTTTTCTTTATTCATCTTTCATCATAAACAATTGAAAATATGATCCAAAAGAAGAAGATTGATATCATTGAACAAATGAAAAAAATGTATGGAAAGAAGGCGCCAAAAGAATAAAGCAGAAAAAGGTGATTGAGTATGTGAGTAGACATGACAACGGTGTGGGCCTGGGATGATTTTTACCTCTCCTAAATCTAAAACCGACAATCTTTATTCTCCGTTTCAAACCCAAATGAAGATGGAGAATTAAAACGTAAATCCGTCCCCAACAGATTTGGGTTAGGTTCGAGTATCCTTGTCCCGTTAATAAAATCAAAATTTTTAATAAAAATATTTATTTTTTCTAAAATTAAATTACATTATAAATAATAAAATAAAATAATTTCAAAAAATTACATACATACATTTCAAATATTTTAAATAACAAATATAAAACAAATTATCAAAATATTGACTACATATTTAATGTTTTAAATTATAAAAAATAAATATTATTGTACATATAAAATAAACGAGGCAAGTTTAGGGTGGATATTAGTGTCCCTATTATCGGACTCATCTCCATATTTTGTAATTGAAGAAAATCCAAACCCAATCAAAATGGATTTTTTTCATCAATTTCGAGACAAACTCAAATGGTTACTCGCGGATACGAGTTTTATTGTCATGCCTATATGAGTCCTATAAAGAGAGACAAAATATTATCGGGCCCACATGAGACAAGAAAGGAGGTAAATATAAATATTTAAGTAATTACTTTAAATAAGTGAACAATATTTATATGGGCGGTGTACAAATTCATTGTTAAAATAGAAAAATTGTTGTATATATTAGAGTTATTTAAGATCAATTTTGCTATTTTGGCAGTGTATTTGTACACTACATCATATAAATACTATTCATTTATACTAAAATAATTATTTAAATATTCATTCTTATCTCTTTTTTGTCTCACGTGGGTCACATAACCTTCTCTTTCTTTATAGGACCCACATATTCAATTGGATCATATTTTCAATTGTTTATAACGAAAAATAAATAAAGAAAAATAGCTAAAACAAAGTTGAATAATGCAATGAGAGAAATTGGTTATTCGTGTTTAAAATTTGGTTAATATAGACTTAAACATCAAACGAAAAAAAATTGGTAAAGTCAAATTGATTAATACAATGTAAAAAGCTAATTAATTCCGTTTAAAGTTTGATTAATATAGATCAAGACATTAAAACAAAACAAAATCGATAAAAAATCTTAATTAATTGAGTGTAAGAAATTGATTAATAATTTTTAAAGTTTGTTAATATAGATCCATACAAAGAAGAGTTGTTAATACAACACAAGAATTTGGTTAATGATGTTTATAATTATTTTTAAAATATGGTTAATGGTGTTAAAAGATGGTGCATGAAGAAGAAATGGTAAGAGTGAAAAGTAAAAAGAGAGAGAAAAAAATTGCTTAGTAAAATCTTGCTCCATTATAAGTGTCAAAATATCATTTCTTATTTAAGATATATCATATATGCTGTGTCATATTGATTGGCGAGTAAACAATTATCATATATGCTGTGTCATATTGATTTGCGAGTAAACAATTTTTTTTATTATAATAGATTTACATTAAGGTTATCATAAACCTTTATTTTTTTATTGTAATTTTGAATGTATTTATAGAACATATTTAAGAGTTAATACTAAGATACATGTTTTTTTCTCTAGATTATATAGTCTTACTTGGAGATTTAAAAGAGAATTTAAAAGAAAAGTTGGAGACGAGCTTCACAAATCCACGACTTTCACATAAGCAGAAGTTAGATAATGTATTTAACAAAATAAGAAGTATTTCTAACCAGTCATACGATTTAAATATCATGAGTATGTAATACAAAACAATAAAGATAAAAAAGAAGATGTAAACTGATCTTACCTGATCAGAAGGTTTGGACCGTCACGGCTGCTCCGAGCTGAAGGCTTTTTGAACGAGGAGGGGGGGGGTACCTGCAAGGCACTCCGATGCTTAAGTCAGTGGGAGTACTAGCAGATAATAGAGTTGAGGTTAGAATGATCAATCCCTGACCCTCTGGAAACAGAGGGTATTTATAGCCCCCAGCGCTGGGCCAAGGTTCCTTCATTGGGCCGGGCGGATTTGGCCCAATGGAGGAACTGCCAGGTCCTACGTGGGTAGTGGGGACCAGCACGTGGTCCCCTTCCTGGATGTGCTGCGTGAAGTGCGGGCGGACAGAGACGCGGTCTTTCCGGAGTGTCGTTGGGGCAATGGTGACTGAGTCTGCCCTAGCAAGGTAGCTCGAGTCCATGTCGAGCTGCGCAGTGCGGTGCCGAGCTCGACGCCAAAACCTCGAGCTGGACGTCGGGTGTCGAGCTGGAAGCCAGGACATAGAGCTGGACGGCATGCTGTCGAGCAGGACTTCGTCGTGGGGCTAGACACCGAGATGTCGAGGTGGACATCAGGGTGTCGGGCATGGACGTGGCCCCCTTTGCCCAGTGTGGTCCTTAGTGAGTCCCTTTGGACTGGGCCTTAATGATGCTTTTGGGCCTGTCGGGCCCAGTCCAGAACAGGAGCCCCCCAAGTCGTGATTCCTTTGCGAGGAGCCATGACTTGAAACAGTAGTTCCGTCGCTGAGGTCTCGTGCCCGGGATGGAGGCGTGGACCCTCGAGGGGTCTCCTCGTGACGTGCTCGAAGACGTCGTCGGTGGTGGATGCGTAGAGGATCCGTACCGGGCGCGTAAGTCGAGCACACGAGGCATCTTTCGGGAGTTGTGCCGCCACCCTAGGGGGGTAGGGCCATCATTGCGTTGGGTGCAGTGCGTCGAGGAGACGGAGTCCGTGGCTGAACGAGGTGACGTTTGGTATTCCACGTCATCACTATAAATAGGGTCCTTGGGCCCCATAATACGTTTTCCGTTCTTCGTGCTCTCTTCGTTGCAACTCTCAACACTCTCTCCAACCGTGACTTCCCGTCTCAGATTCTTCATTTCTTAGCCGAATCCCAACTTTGATCCAAGTAAGTGATCCATTTTCTTTATTTTCCTGTTTTAGAATGCATGATTCTTGGACAATGTAGATGTTTTAGGACCGTTAATGTGGGATTAGCCCGGTAAACTCGTGTTTTGCCCGACAGATTCATGTCTAGGACCGGCAAACGCATACTTGTGGCCGACCCATTCGTAGTTTTAGGTGAAAAACTTCAGAGCTGCCCGGGGTCTTCATGATCCTGGGCACCTGACTCATGCCGGTGCCCGGTATGTTTATGGTCGTGGCCGTGGGCTTCATAATGCGGCTCGCCATGTTCATACCTCGGATCGATATGCTCGAAGAGTGGCCGCGCAGTTGGTTTGTGGAAGAACACTAGATTCAGGAGGGTCGGGGAGGCATCCACTTTTGAAAATGGACTTGTGGTAGTGTATGGACGACATGATTATGTCGAGCATAGGACTTCATGCTCAATCTGATTGGTTTCCCGTGCTCTGCAGGTAACCATGGCGGATGAGCCGAGCTCCTCCGGTCGTCGTGACAGCGAAGAACAGAGTGCCGATGAGTCGGCCAACCTTATAGACACCGTGACCGACCCATCGCTGGAATGGGTGGGCGCCGAGCCTCGGGGGACGGCCTCGATATACAGTCGGGATGACCGACATCCGTTCATCGCTATCGAAGAGGGGCAGGACCAGCCCGACTTTCAACCGAATTTCGAGGTCATGTTGCCGTCGACCAACGCCAGAATTTGCTCGATGTACCCGGACTACAGCTTTGCGATGTACGAGATCGCGTTTAAAGACTTGGGTTTGCGGCTGCCT